ATGTTTCCAAAACGGGCGCGGGCGCGCCCCGTTTGCGCGCAACGTGGGAGAACCTGACTCATGCAGATAAATCTTCTTCCTAGGTTTGCCAACCACGCACACACCACACACTCGGCTATGCAGCGGTGTTGAAATCACCAAACTGTTTTACAGTGTTGCCCAATCTTGAGATTAGGTCAGCCAAACTAGGCGAATCCGGCAGTTTGGCGCCAGCATAATCGCTGCCACGAATCTCGAATTGGTGCAGCATTCCAAGTTTGGTACAACAGTACTAGTAGTAGTGTATAGCTAGCCTCTAAGTACTATAGCCCGCGCTTCGATTAACTGCGCAAGGTTATCCCTGCGGCAGTTATCGAACGCCGGGCTATAGACTAGTACTGTAGAGCTATAACTACTAGTTACTGAGTAGTTAGTAGTAGTACGCTACTAAATATAGCTCTAGTACTATAGCCGCGCTACATTGACAATGCCGCAGCGCCTTGCGGCAGTCAATGATACGCGGGCTATAGCTATACTGGCTATACTATACTATCTATAGTACTAGAGTCATTCATAACTCAAAAACTACACATTTTATTTTATAACACAAACACACTATAATAACTCGCAGTTCTGGCTAATAATATTATGACCATCACAGTTCCAACCGACATACCTTGCAAGTTGATAAGACTGTTTGAGGCAAAACTCGCTTAGCAATTTTAGCGCGCATGATGATGGCCGTGATCGTGTTGATAGGCGAGAGCGCGCCTTTATATGTCCTTTAAAAACATCGTTATTTTTAAACGCAAACAGAAAGAAAAAAAAGCATAGGCAGTTATCAAAATTCTGTCTCTAGCTCAAATAATTTTTGTAAACACACTGAAAAGTGCGAATTCGGTCTCTCAGTCTTTAAATTATATCCATAGTAAGCATAATAACACAATCTTGTTTATAAATTTTGCTAGATAATTTATACACATCTACTACTGATAGCGATCAAAGTAGAACCAATATATTATTTAACATGGTATATATAATGTTATATACATAATATATATATATTATATAACGGAAATTAAATTTTCCTACTTCCTACACAACAAAAAAAAAAAAAAAAAAAAAAAAATAAAAAAAAAATCCCGCAAATACTCAAATCAAATGTGGGTTGCGCGACTTGCGCCTGCAACTTGGTATAATACTCATTTCCACATTAAGTAAAATTTGCCACAATTTCACACATTAGATGGCAGCACGATGCAAACATTTGCCGGCAAATGTTACTCCGAAACTCCTTTACAAACCCGTAGCAATAAACGACTGCGGGACACCATTTTGCGCTCATAAGTTATGAGTTAGTGCGGAGGTTCCCCGAGCTACAATAAGTGCTGTCCAAAACGCCAAGAACAGTTAAAAAGGTGGCATTGATTCAGAGACAAATAGCAGAACCAGAAGATCTAAAAGAAAAACAGAGTCGCATAAAGTTTCACGATGGCTGTGTATTTCTTGCTGCCTGTTCAGCTGGTGACACCCAGGATAGTGGATAAATTGCTCGCAAGCGGGAGCTGACATCAATACCAACAAACGTTGATGGACTTACGCGCCCGCATCAGGTAATATCCTATTACTTTTCACTGTGTTCCCGAATCAAACGTTTATATGCTATTGTTCATACTAGCAATTAAAACTGGATGAACCGTGAATTCTCACTCAGTTGCTGCCATCCAACTAGCATTCAAGAGAATGATCAACCAACGCACCACAATACTTGATCAGGCTTATCATCACATGCCCACTTTGAAAATTGAGAAACGCCATCGCTGGTTAAACATCACCAGGTCTCGATTTTGCATAAATGTAGCTCACTTGTAAAATTCTGGTCAGTGAAGATTGGCATTCTTTCTTGCTTCATGAGCCTGTTTGTTGCAGCCGAATAATTCTGAGCGAGAATCATTGCTTTCGCACGCCTGTTCATCTTCAAAGGATCCCTTTTGTTTCTGTTCATTCGCTGAGAGGTCTATGCTTCCCCAGGGTACTGGCCGAACGTACCCTGGTACAGTCCGGTATTACCGGAACGTTACCCTGGTACTATCTAATTATGCCGGACCGTACTGCGCATACTTCACTAACGGGTCTAGGGAGTCGACTACGCCTACTCCCTAACCCTAACTCTAACCTAACCCTAACCCTATATTATAGTTACCAGGGTACGTTCCGGTATATACCGGACCGTACCCAGGGTACGTTCCGGCAGTACCCTGGGCGACATATAGATCCTATGAGCCTGTCATTCCGTATAGAATTCCGGAAACGGCCATTGGGAACGGAAAAGATGTTTTCAAACGGAAAAATGCGGAAAACGTAATTTGAACATATTACAACATGGGAAATTTTCAATTAAAATCATTAAAAAACGTCGGACATAGCATTGCGTAGTGATATGGTTTACATTCAGACAAGCTTTCAGCAGCAAAATGATTTACAATTACGTCTTTTGGTAGCCCTGTGTTTCGGTGCCACTGCCAACCCAACTGTCAGTGAGTGACCAAATACAATTTTTTTCATGCAAATATATATATGTAAACGGAATTTTTCATTTTTGGTGTGTACAATCTCTTATGGCCAAAACGGAATTTCCATTTTTTCTTTACTTTGAAACGGAATTCATGATTTTCCTAAACGGAAAAGGCAATTTTTTGAAGTTTACGGAAAATCACTGTCCCTAGTTGTACCAGATTATATATGTGTAACGGCCCAATTGCATAGATCTACTGTTTTGGACTGGACAGGGTTTCTTCTGAGGGAAAATTAGACAACGGAGGTAATAGCCACTTTGGGCGGGGAAAAATGTGCATGATGGATTTAAAGACGGTGCCGTTAGACACGCATGCGGACGCTGCAGGCGGAACGCGAGGGAGGGAGGGGGAAGTCCCCCTCTCGCTGGGGGGGGGGGGGTTCTGGGGCTCCTCCAGCCAAAGTTTAAAATTGAATGGTAAAAATTGTTATAGGCACGCACGCACGAACGCACGTGTACGTACACACGCACGCACGCACGCACGCACGTGTATTTAATTTAACTGTATTTAACTGTATTTAACTGTCGCCGCCGCACGATTGGGGCAAGGGAGCCGTCCGACTCATAGTAGCCCCAATAATCACAATGTAGGTAGGGTACGTATACGTGCACACGCACACACGCACGCACACACGCACGCACACACGCACGCATGCACGCACGTTTACATACACACGCACGCACGCATGAATGCACGCAGGTGTACGTGCACACGCACGCACGCACGCACGTCTACGTGCACATGCATGCACGACTAAGCGATTTCACCGGTGATTTAGTCGCCCGATTTAATCGCCTAGTGTGTCCACTCGACTCGCGCGATAGAATCTGGCGATATTATCGGGCGATAAAGTCGCCCAATTAAATCGCCTAGTGTGTCCGGCCCTTTATATACCAAGTAGGCCTAAAATGTGCAGCCGTGGACAACGTGAGTCACACAGCCTGGTTGGGTTATATTTTTATATGAGGTATGTTTAGGGTTAGGGTTAGGGCTAGGGTTAGGGTTAGGGTTAGGGTACACTTCTGTAGTACAAGACTGGTACACTTTGTGTATACATATGTACCTCGGGTACATATCTGTACTGTAGTACCTGATACGACAACGACCCCTTGAGCCGCAGTGAACAATAAGAGAATAACCTTCCCGGCCCCAACACAACGTTATGATATTGGACACTAAAATATATACCATACAGAGTAAGTAGGTTGACAAGTAGTAGACTACTTGTAACGCTGGAAATTGACCGTTTTTATTTATATAGTGAATAACTTTTGCAGGATATGCTAAATTATTTGCTAACATAGGTTACCTCGATCGATCATAACAGGCTTTTCCCTCTACGACTTCCGAAACAAGTGAGCATACTTATCGCTGATTTCGCTGGTTTCCACGGTCTCCGCCAGGGCACGAAGTCCGCGGCACAGGCTCTCGTTCTGCTCTCGATTATGTGTCGCTTATTATATTTCTATGATTCAAGCAGTATGCTTCTGCTCTGACATAGCTATATATTTACATGCAATATTTACTAACATATATATATATATATATATTCACTACGAGTATATGATGCTTATTTATGCTCGCGCCAACGCGAGTTGCAACGCTATGGTATGTTATGTCGTTTCGGGTTTTCCGCGTTCCTATCTAAAAACATGCGCAGTGGAAACATGGCGGTTGGCGGTGAAAGTGAAATTTGGTTTGGCTCTTGAAATTTACACTGTGCACAGCGAACTGAGGTATTAGTTTTAATAACAACGCTGGAATACTATAAGGTGAAGGTTGAATACTTAATACTAAACAAGGCAGAAATGCTTATATGATCATTTTATTTGAGATATAAGTAATTGTTCGGTAGTTTTTGTAGAGATACAAGATTTTCCAATGGATGGATGTCAGGCTGTGTATATTGTATATATATAAATATTAAAACATTGAAAACCAGGAAACATCAATCTACAACAACTTAATAATTATCATTGCGAAGATATGTACTTGCCTTGTGTTTAGGCCTGCGCACTGTGAAAATCAGGTCCATTGCCGACTTTAGTCACACTGAACATGGCGGACATGGCGGCTGTCTGGTTGTTTTGATCCAATTCATCTCAGAAAATACAGCATAACTCGATAAATCAGTAGCGCCCAGTAGCGCCCAGCTAGTAGCGCCCAGTTACCACAAGCAAGCCAGAGGTTTATAGATTTGTTTGAGCTATTACATGTGACGCTAGCTGTGTCGATGTTTGGATACCGAGCCAACTACACGTTTTTATGGGCAAGAATTTGAAACGGTCCCCTAACCCTAGCAAGGACCGTTTCTTGGAGCTATAGTAGTACTAGTAGTAGGTCCTAGATGTAAACTGTGCTTTCTGATTTTGCAATTTGCATATCTGACATACATGAAATTTGTGTTAATGTAAACAGCATGTAGAGTTGATTTGTATTTACAGGTTGCAGGAAGCCACAGGGTTCATGATCAGATCCAAAGCGAGACTCACCGATGTGTCGAATGACAGCAGTGACAGTGTACTTCTCAGTGAAAGCTGTATAAAGGTAATAATCTTGTCTACGTTACCACATGTAACTAGGGCTGTAAGTGTAACGATACACAAGCCTCTCGATTCGATCCGGTTCTCGATATTAGCCTCTCGATTCGATCCGGTTCTCGATATTAGCCTCTCGATTCGATACCTTCGATTCGATTCCCAAAATATTGAAATGTTATCTTATTTTTTATATTTTCATTATTTTGCAATAATAAATTATTAGAAATTGCCAATGAATACTAAATGGTGAATAGACTAGAGAGTCTAAAGAGTATATGTCATAGAGATATGTATACTATTTATACATCTCTATGGTATATATACACTGCATAATCGCTGAGTAAAATTGGTGAGTAACACTCCACAGTATATAGCGTAGTGCCGCCATCTATTGGGCCATCCTTAAAAAATTATATGTTTGCTGTCCTCCGACCGACCCAAAAGTTTTTTTTGACATTTTGGGTTCCATATTTTTTTATATTTTTTTTTACATTTTTCATAGTTAAGACTGAAACACAAAGCATGTGTGGCAAACATGAGGACAGACTTAAAATAACTATTATGCCTCACAAAAAAAAGACCTACCTACCTACCCACTAAAAAAATCATGGGTCGGGGGACAGCAAACATAGAATTTTTCATGGATGGCCTTGGAGGAAAAAAGTGGTATCGAAGTGGAATCGAAAATACGGGGAAAAATATCGAAGATCGGATCGAGGGAAGAGAATCGCGATCCGATTCGATTTCGGTGGATCGTTACAGCCCTACATGTAACCTGGTGTGAACACACACAAAGGTGTGTGCAGGGTTAAATTATTGGAAATCAACAGTCGCTAGCCCTTATCTGGCTACGATTTATTATTGTGATTTAACAAAACAAGAGATCAGATGTTACTGCAGACATTACCCTAGCATCATACATAATTAGTTTTTCAATACACATTCAGAATGACTGGTATATATTTCTCAATAAAAATGTTTTCTTCTTCTAGAGGCTGAAGAAGATCAGTAAGAACCCCGATGATTACCTCAGGTTGACAGTAGATGGAGGTGGCTGCTCTGGGTTCCAGTACAACTTTAGATTTGAAAATCAAATTAAGCCAGATGATCAGTAAGCACTTTGTTATCTTTTCTCAATGCAAGGTCAAAGTCTTGTTCATCTCTGATGTGTCTATAGAGCTTCCATAGTTCCAAGTAATGTTCTATAGAAGACAATTTATTTACCTGGGAAAGGTGTGATGACAATATTAGGGTCACAAACTTGTGAAGATACTATTGTTTAGCCTAACACTTGTCAACTTATCATTAGCGTGGTCATCATGACAAGATCAAAGATCCTTATTCTGGGTAGAACTCCTGGGGCCCGTTGTCAGAAACATCGCAAAGTTAATGCTAAGACTAATGGTGCGACTAATTTTGTTTCTGACAACGGCCCCCAGGTATCCAGGAAAATTACCTTAACTGCAATTTCCTTCTTGCAGCGTTTCAAAGGAGGATGTCAGTGTAGTCATTGAGTCAAAATTGCTTATCCGTGATTTTTCTTCAAAGTAACAGAGACGGAAGGTGTCACTATGCTCACTGAGTCATATTTCTCTAACCGTGGTTTATTTCTGTCATTATAACAGAGAAGGAAGGCATCGAGTCATATTTGTTCAAACCCAATTTGTTCTTTCAGCGTTATAGAGAAGGAAGGTGTCAAGTCATATTTGTTTCAACCCGATTTGTTTCTTTCAGCATTATAGAGAAGGAAGGTGTCAAGGTTGTTGTTGACGAGACCTCCATCGCGTTCATCCGAGGATCCACCATCGACTACCACGAGGAACTGATCCGATCAACTTTCCGAGTCGTCTCGAACCCGAATGCCGAGCAAGGCTGCTCCTGCGGAGCCTCATTCGCACTCAAGTAGTGTTTCACCCTGACTGGACTGGCAATGGCAGGCTGTGACCCCACTATAACTTGTATAAGCTTCATCTGTGTTTTTCTCTCTGTAGTCATGAGTGTGCAAAAAATAAGGAGTGTTTATTGTGTGCACGTGGAAACACGTGGTGGTGTACAGATTTTCATGAAAAGCCCCGAGGTTAGAGAAAAGCAAAAAAGTTGCATTCGACCTCGTATCTAAAATAACTATATTTTCATTATTCTTGCAGGAAAAATACTGATACGCATTTGTGATATCACGTTTCTACAGTAAGTTTATGACACTTTGAAACATTTGTGTACTATTTTGCTACAAACAGTTGTAGCAACAAAATTCGACGCATTTCCACTGCCGCTTGTGTCTCTGATAACACTTGCTTATCTTATTTCTATTCATATATGTGACCCGTGATAGCCAAATGAGTCGTAAGTCGCACAGTAGCATTTTACAGAACAATCGATTTTGTTTCAAATCTTTAAAAAAAAAAAAACATCTACAATGTTTACTTTTGATCTGTATAAGCAAAAATGTCTTAATTCAATTAAAACCTGCTTAAATTGAATGATTTATAAGAAGTGACGGCTAATAATATCAGTGAATGATATTAGTTTTTGAGCCCTTATTTTAGACAATTCTCAGGAAATTTTAATCGCATGATATCTCCATTTATAATAGTAATAAAATATTCATTTTTCAACCAATTTTCAATATCTATATAACAATAGAAAGCTATGAATCTCAGGTATCTGAATATGTATTCAAGCTAAAATGTCAAAATTTGCCCAAGTGACTCATTTCGCCATCACCGGTCACATATATTCTGGATTAGAAACTTTCCATACAGTTTAGTACACACAGCAAAAGACGTGAATGTGGTTTGTTTTCAGGTTGCTTTACGTGACCTACTTTTTTGGTTAGCTATTTCCACTATTTAATAATCATTAATGGTTATTATATAATTTTATTTGTGTGCGTGTGTGTGTGTGTGCGTGTGCATGCACACCCACGTGCATGTGTGGAGTGACCTGTTTAGAACATTTACATGTATGGAAGCCATTCAACACAAAACGCACACGTTTTATTTAGGTGTACAAACGTTGTACATTTAGTTGGCAGAGGTGTTTTGATCAGCTAGAAATCTAGGGCGTTATTATTAAATACAGAATTTATACATATAACGAACCTTGTAAATGTAAGCTGCCAAACGAAACGAAGCAGTAAATTTTACATTTTGCGACGAATCGACTTTAGTGCAGTTTAACGGCAAGTGTGACAAAATCTAGTATAAGTGACAAATATAGTTCAAGTGAATATGATTCATACGACTGGTGTTAACAGCTCACATCTCGTTACCAGTCAATGGTGACCGAAAGTTGCAGCAGCTTGCTTTAATTTATGTTGGGTTTGAAAACTATAGTATCGGACTAGGCACATTTCACAATTGGTAATTTGTTCTAAACATTGTTTTAAATGTAAATAATATATAGCAGAAGCCTTATATAATAAAAAAAATTTAGTCTATGCATAGTCGTGTGTAGTGTATAATTTTCCACTTTCCATTGAAACGTGTCTAACAACGTGACAACATGTATTAACGTGTATTGTTCCAATCAGTTACGATTAGATGAGGGTTAGGATGGTCGTAAGGTAACTATATATTATGGTTAAGGTTAGGGTTAGGGTTAGAGTTAGGGTTAGGGAGTAGGCGTAGGCGACTCCCTAGACTCGTTAGTGGAGTATGCGAGGTACGGTCCGGCATATTAGATAGTACCAGGGTACGTTCCGGTATACCGGACTGTACCAGGGTACGTTCCGGCAGTACCCTGGGGAACATAGACCCTCTCAGCGAATGACAGAAACAAAAGGGATCCTTTGAAGATGACAGGCGTCGAAAGCAATGATCTCGCTCAGATTATCGGCTGCAACAAACAGGCTTCATGAAGCAAGAAAGAATGCCAATCTTCACCTGACCAGAATTTTACAGTGACTACATTTATGCAAAATCGAGACCTGGTGATGTTTAACCAGCGATGCGTTTCAATTTTCAAAGTGGGCATGTGATGATAAGCTGATCAAGTATTGTGGTGCGTTGGTTGATCATTCTCTTGGATGCTAGTTGGATGGCACAACTGAGTGAGAATTCACGGTTCATCAGTTTTATTGCTAGTATGAACAAATGCATATAAACGTTTGATTCGGGAACACAGTGAAAAGTAATAGGTATATTACCTGATGCAGGGCCGTAAGTCCATCAACGTTTGTTGTATTGATGTCAGCTCCCCTTGCGAGCAATTTATCCACTTCCTGGGTGTCACCAGCTGAACAGGCAGCAAGAAATACACAGCCATCGTGAAACTTTATGCGACTCTGTTTTCTTTTTAGATCTTCTGGTTCTCTATTTGTCTCTGAATCATGCCACCTTCTTAACTGTTCTTGGCGTTTTTGGACAGCACTTATTGTAGCTCGGGGAACCTCCGCCATAACTCATAACTATGAGCGCAAAAATGGTGTCCCGCAGTCGGTTTATTGCTACGGGGTTCGTAAGGAGTTTCGGAGTAACATTTGCCGGCAAATGTTGCATCGTGCTGCCATCTAATGTGTGAAATTGTGCAAATTTTACTTAATGTGAAATGAGTATTATACGCAAGTTGCAGGCGCAAGTCGCGCAACCCACATTTGATTTGAGTATTTGCGGATTTGTGTAGGAAGTAGGAAAAATTTAATTTCCGTATATAATATATATATTATTAATGTATATAACATTATATAACATGTTATAATATTGGTATCTACTCTTGATGCTATCAAGAGTAGATGATGTGTAATTATCTACAAAATTATAAACAAGATTGTGTTATTATCTACTATGGATAAATTTAAAGACTGAGAGACGAATTCGCACTTTTCAGTGTGTTACAAAAATTATTTGAGCTATAGAACAGAATTTTGATAACTGCCTGTGCAGTTTAAAAAAACGATGTTTTTAAAGGAATATAAGCGGCCTCTCGCCTATCAACACGATCACGGCCATCAATCATGGCGGCGCTAAAATTGCTAAGGAGTTTTGCTCAACAGTCTTATCAACTTGCAAGGTATGTCGTATCGTAACTGTAAAGTGAATAGTAAAATATATTTAGCCAGAACTCCGAGTTTTATATGGTGTTTATTAGTGGGTTAGATAAAATAGAAATGTGAATAGTAGGTACTATTTAGTATAGCTCTAGTCTAGAGTCCCTAACGGGACCTGTGTGTAACTACGGCAGTGTAATAAACCGTCAGATGAACATTTTGTCCAATACCTCCTCAGAAAGCCCAGTTTACCTTCGATGGTGCAGCACATAGTCTACTCCTGATAAACGCAGCTATATTTGTTAAACAGGCAGCGGCAACATATTTCAATCAAATACAGTGGTAACAACCAGTGTCACATTCTTGTGACCATCTGTACTGGATAGTCTATACTAACATATGCTCATGTGATAACGAAAACCTCATTCATTTGCCCTCACATTCATTTGTGTAGTATTTACATGCGTGTGTAATATGTGTATTGTATATCCCTTTGTATCATTTATATTTATGTAATTACGTAGCACTGTATTATTGTATGCTTTGTAATCTCTCAGGAGGAAATAAAGATTGAACGGGCCGGAGCCTCCTCCTTAATGATTCTGCGTCACAAAATATGTACACACGCGCACGCACGCACACGCCTATACACACGCACGCACACGCCTATACACACGCAC